GCCATGATACCAGAGAGCTCAAGTCACTCCTATTGTCTTTAAGACATTAGATTAATGGCTATAGGATGCCCTACCATTGGTAGTGAATGGCTCCTATCTAAATAACAATAGACCAGGCGAGTATACTCTCATCCTGAAGGCTAGGAGATACATGCTGACATAGTGTGCCTAGTGGCCCAGTAGTACATGTAGTTATAGAGTTTCTTTAGGATTAAGGAAAATAATTGCTATTTGTCCTTTATACATGATAATAGAAGTCTTCTGTCATTGTCCCCTCCTTTGGTTGGTTACTTAAGACTGATGCATGAATAAGCTGGGCACATTCAGTATTACCTGGTACTGCCCTCCTGATATGATAGTATGTCTCTGTCTTTCTTTTAATGCCTATAGCTAGCCTTTCCTCATCCACAGTCTCCCAGTCAGGAAAGGACCCAAGGCTGTTCAGCTGGTCAAGAACACAGCCCCATAGACATCAGTCCATGACTTATGGCCCCACAGCGTGGGCCTAAAACAGATGACACCCGACAAACATAAAAAAACAATTTTCCTTAACGTATTACTGAAATCAGATAGTGATGGAGTCCCACCACCCTGGCAGCTCTCTGTGGAGTGTTGAATGAAGCATGAGGAGCATCCACCTGTCAGTGAGGTCTTGCTGAGGGCCATGTCTGTGGGTGGTGGAGGGTCATTTGCATAGCAATAAGGGAAGGCAAGTGCTCCTGCATCTCCTCCAGGAGGCACTGGGGTCCTTCTGCCTCTACTTTCTAAGTGATGAGATAGATCAAAGGCAAGCACAATCATGGCCCATGCAAGTACTTGTTACTTTCTAAGCTTTCACTCCCAGCTCTGAAGGGACACTAACCCTTTCACACATGTGGCTCTGGCAAGCATTGCCCTTCTCCCCAGGCCTCAGCTTTGCTACAAGCCTTTAGACTACATTCCTGAAGCTAGCCACCAATGTCTCTTCCTTATTTGCCGACTTCCTACTCCTGAGGCTGACTACTAAAGTCCAGCAATCAAAAGCACTCCTTATCGCACCCGACTGACATGCCAGTTAAAAGGAAACGCCTCATCCTAACATAGGGTTTCCCCCTTTACCTTTTTAAACTACCATTTGCATATGTGCATGTCTTTCTCTTCTCTAGCCAGAGGCAGTCCTATGTCCATCTTGGACAAAAAGCCCTTCCATTTCTCCCTTGTCCCCTATCTGTTTTACTAGAGCATCCTAATACAACATGCACACGTCGTCTTTTTTAAAATCACACAAACATGTTCATTTGCTGCTATTTTCTGCCTGATTCAGAAAGCAGCTACTTTTACTCCCATCTTAATAACAGGTGTTTGGCTGTGATTTATGCCTAATCCATGAACTGTGAGGCAGCCACAACTGTGTACGAGTTCCCTACTTGGCAATGGTCCAGTATTTATGGTGGTTTAGAAACATAAAAACTTAGGTCAGACCAGTGTCTTGCTGCTATGAGTATGTACATGCAAAGTTGTTTGTACCACCACTGCTGGACTCTGTTGCTAACTAGTGTGGTACTGGGATTAAAGCTGTATGCTGCCACTGCCTGGCATCTATGGTTAACTAGTATGGCTAACTTTGCATTCTGATCTTCTGTCAAGACAAGGTTTATTTAATGGATAAAAAGAACATATCACCACACAAATATGTGGTGGAGAGGTTGAAAACATCTGGGAATGAGTGTGTAATGGAAAGAGGTGGTACTAGAGATTTGTCAGTTAAAAAAGGCATTGGAGAAGGATGCGTGTCATTGCCCAGTAGGGCCAGCAGGGTGCTGTACAGTGACATTGAATTTGAGCAGACTCTGTTCCTGGAAAACCATGTCCAACTGGACCATGTGCAATAACAGGAAGCCTGAGATGCATGTCGGTTCATTTCCTGTATTGGGCCTCTTCAAAAGACCTCTATGGTCTGTGCTGCCCCCAGTGGCCATGCCAGTTTCAGTGATCCATGCTGCTGCCCCATGTCATGTGGATACCCATGGTCCATGTTAATGTTTGTGGTCTGTAATACTGCTGGAGGCCATGTTGGTGTCTGAGGTGTGTACTGCAACCTGAGACCTGAATGTCTGCAGCCTGGCTGACAACTGAGGTCATGTTGATATCTGTGGTCCATGCTGCTGCATGTGGATGTCCATGGTGTGTGCTGCATCTAGAGCCCATGTTGATGTACATGGCGTGTGTTGCCACCAAGGGCCATGATAGTGTCCAGTGACCATTCCACAGCTGAGGGCTGTGTTGATGTCTGTGGTCTGTGCTCCCACCAGAGGTCATGTAAATGACTGTAGTTGGTATTGCTGTGGGCTGTAAAGGATAAGGAATCTTCTTCTGCAGTAGTATTGATGACTACAGCCTCACAGTTGAGAATGAGAAACATAGAATGTTTCTGTGTCATCTTCCCACTCCCTATGTTTACTTCAAGAGGAACAGTGTAGACAGGCAGCCATTGAAGGAAATGCTTTAAGAGTGTGATAGGGATGTTAAAGGGTAGCTCTTCACAGTTATGGCTTCTGGTGGGCTTGGGGAGATGGGGGTGAGGAAGTATTCAGTTTTTTTCTGGGGATGGCTAGCCACTGGGTGTTTGACCATGCTTCAGTGAGCACATGGACAGCAGAAGTTGAATTTGCTTTTCTCCTTCTTTTGGGGGGTAGGTCACAAGGGTGGGGGAATGGACCTGGAAAGTGATTGAAATCACATGGACCTGAGTGGCATTGGGGAGCATCGTGTGAAATTCTGAAATAATCAGTGGAAATATTAGGTTGGGGGAAAAGTGTTACTAAAATCAGCACCATACAGATCAGTTTTGCCTTCCATTTCACAATTTCTAATCAAGACATTTTTGTCAATTTTATGGCCTATTTCACAGCACTCCCTTGTTTATGTGGCAGTCATCAGCTTTCCTTTGAGAGGAAAGACAGGACTTGAAGTGTGATGGTGCCTTTTGCACAGATAAAGTGGTTCTTGATGACATTTAAGCTTCTCTAGATAAGAGAAATCCCATATGGGATATAAAGAAATTCCATTTCCTTGTGACTGAGAATAGAGCATCAATGAAATAAACAAGAATCTGTGGAGTGGGATGCAGAGTTCTTTGGACAGAGACCAAGAAGCGGCACAGCTGGGTGGTGTGGTAGGTTCATCTTTAGTTCTTTAAGATTCTGCACACTGATTCCCAGAGCGCCTCCATCAGTTTTCATTGTCTCCCCAACAGTGAATGCAGGTTCCTTCCCCCACAACCAACCCCAACATTGTTTCAGTTGTTTTACTAACTTTATATACCCTGAATGAAGGGAAATGAAATGCCAAAGTTGTCTTAATTTGCACTTTCCTAATTGCTAAAGATGATGAACAATTTTGATGTCTATGTTTTAGACATCTTTATTTCTTCTTCTGAGAACTCCATCTAGACAGTCTTGTCCTCTGACCATCTCCATTTCCTTCACCAGGAAGTGATGGAGTGAAAAGGGCTGATTTAGTGAGGCTGTGGAGATGGCCTGAAGTCACTTTTGTTGGTGGTGTCAGTCCACTAGGGGGCACTGCAGGATTCCTAGAAATTGTGCAAGGTGCCTAGAGTTTTGATGATCTGAGAAGACATAAGGACACAAGGCAATCCAATCAAAAACAGCAAGGAATAGCAGTGATGGTGTGGAGATCACCAGGATCTTTATATCTCAATCATTCTGTAGAAAGCCACAGATATCTAGAGCCTGTTTGCTGGATCCCATGTGTCTATCAATCTATTTTAACAACAGTTCTCTGAACAAGATAGAGTCTCACTGGGCATTATGAGAATGGACACTCAAGAGAAAACATCTCCATTGCTTTCATTTTTTATTTTTTGTTGGAAAGTTCCCAAGTTCAAAGAACTAGCATTTATTCCAATACACTTAATACCCGTTAACACACACACACACACACACACACACACACACACACACAACACACACACACGGGAGGAAGGGAAGGAGAGAGGGAGGGAGGGAGGGGAGGAGGGACAGTAGGAGGGAGGGAGGGAAGATGGAGGAAGGGATGAAAAGGGGGACAGAGAAAAAGAGAGAGAGGGAGCCAGAGAGTGAATACTCTAAAATAGATAGTAAAAGAGTAACTGCTTGAGAAATACAGAAATATAATAAGTATAAAAACAGAAAGGATGGGACCTCACTGAACTTGGACAGGTTTTCACAGTCTCGTCAGACTCAGCTGTGTTTTCCCTGCCCAGTAGTGCAAAGAGCTGGGCAGATGGCAAGAGATGCAAAATAAATGAGGGCAGAAACATGGGCATGCCTCATTTTTCTTATAATCAAAAACTCTCATTGGGAACATTATCTATGCACATGAGGATCTGCTAATATCAAATTCTTTTTATTCTGTACAGCACATTGTTTGTAGATGCTTTACATTGTAATACACAATTCTGCTAGGACTTTCTGACTGGGCATATTAACCACACTTAAGGGTGGGCCCCATGGCTAACACAGAGTGAACCCAATTATGGTTTGTATCATATTGCTTAGTCTGGGTATTGTTTTTGGTCTTTTCTGTATTTTATGGATCCCTGTCTTGTGTTTTTATGAGTTTATTTGTCTTTCTTCTTCATTATTGTTTTCAAGTTCTGGTTTGATTGGTTTTTGTTATACTTGTTGTTTGCCTGTTTGTTTTCTAAAGAGAGGGGAAAAGAAAGAGCATGCAGTGGTGTGTGTGTGAGGAGATGGGAAAGATTTGAGAGGATGTGGGGGAGAGACTGTGATCACAGCGTATTTTCCACCAGTATTTTACATTTATGAATTCCCCTACCTCAGACATTTTCCTCCAAACTCCCCTTATAAGAAGTGTTACCTTAGAAATACAGTGTCCTGGAGTCTCCATCACTGTCTTCAACAGTTGGGGAGCTATTGCCATGCAGAGTCATGAGGTGGAAGTGGGTGTGGCTTCTTCAGATGAATGAGGAAGTTGGGTGATTCAGAGAGAACCTGTTGTGTGTAAGCACAAGTGTGTCTGGCCACAAGACTTGACACCCTCACAGCTGGAGAGAAAACATCCCAGCAACTGCACAGGACCATGGAGAGGAAGCTGGGAGCTGTGCTGGGGATTCTGTGGGTGTGGATTTGCTGTGAGTTGTGCTCACCTACATTGCTTTAGGGATTCTCCAGAGAGGTCAGTGGTGGAGGGGGAAGGAGTCAACCCAGAGCTCCTGTGTAATCATCTTTATGGTGTCTGCTGGGATATTTGACAGGGGTGAGTGGAAAACCCTCCCTCATTCTGATTTGTTTTCTATTTCCAAGCAGGGGTGAGAGGAGTTGAGGTGGAGCAGAGTCCTTCATACCCGAGTGTCCATGAGGGAACCAGTGCTACGTTCGCATGCAATTTTTCTACAACCATGACATATGTGAGGTGGTTCCAGCAGAATCCCAGGGGCAGCCTCATCAGTCTTTTTAACATGGCTCTAGGAAAAAAGGAGAATGGGAGGTTAACTGCAACATTCAATTCTAAGGAGCACTACAGCACCCTGCACATCAAGGAGGCCCAGCTGGAGGACTCAGGAACCTACCTCTGTGCTGCTGATGCACAGTGCTCCCAGCAAGTATGAAGCCTGGCCCCAAACTGCAACTGGGTGTGCAGCTACATTCCTGCCACAGGGAGATTCTGCAGGAGGCGTTTGCACAGCTGTGGCTCTATCAGATCTCCACCAATTACAAGGAAGGTGTGAGGAAGCAGAAAATAGCACAGGAGAACTTCACACTTAAGCTGATGTAACACTGATTTGTAGAAGAACAAATGCCCAGAAATAACAGCGCACATTAGTAAAGTCTACACTTTATTTTATCAC